AAGATATAAGATAATTTATTAGTAGAATAATATTATCTTTATGAAAATAAAAGATACATTTCAATCATTATCGTAGTATTCTCCTTACTCTATACATTTACGTTATTTAAACTAATATATAAATTTCTTATCAAACAATAACAAATATAAATATTGTAATTATGTTTTTTAATGAAAAAAAACCCCTTAGATTATTACTAAAGTTTACGATTATAGCTTGACGAATCATACAAATAAAAATAAATTATTAACAATTTTATCTCAATAAAAAAAGTATATAATTTTTTATTTCATATCAGTTAAATTAAAGCAATTAATGCTAAATTTTTACTAAATAGGTAAAATCTAAATTTTAGTTTTTAATTTACAAATAACCTAAATTGATATAAATAAATAATTAATTATTTCTAATAAAATACAAATATAGAGTCATATAAAAAGTTGATTGTTGATAATATTTTAATAAATATTTTATAATGGTTTTTAAACTATAGCCAACTTAAAAGTAATTTTTTGTCATAGTATAATTTTTTGCAGTATGTATATTTAACAACCATGAAATATCCCAATATTTATTTTTGTTTATTGAATTACTAAACTTAGTACCTATTGTGGATATATAGCCTGAAGATATTACTCACAATGTTCAATTATCAATAGATTAAAGTGTTATTTTATTGACCAGTAGTTCTCAACCTTTTTTGTATGACAACTCCCTAATTTAGATCCATAAAAATGGTGACACACTCAGGCCAGGACTGGGAAGATACCGATCTACTATTCTCAGTAAGCACGCGACCAATAGATACAATATTTAAAGACCTGTTTTTTTTGCTCATTAATTGCATTAATTGCTTAAAAAAACTTCTTCGACTATAGAAGTAAATAAGAACTGAACTGAGCATATAAATTAAGCGAGGTATGATACGGTTAGATACGGTGCATGTTTTCAGCATAAATAAAAGAAAATATCAAAAAACTAACATTTATTAATTAGAATTACGATAATAATAAAATTTATTTTATGTCAATAGCTAATAATCTATTTTTATTCATCATATAAATTATATTAAGTACCTATTAATTTTTGCAAGTAGTTAATAGTGTCAACAATGTTTGTAAATTTTGTGACATTTAATATCAGTACTTAACTAATGGTAACTTCTAATTTAACTAGTCAAGTTTTATTTTTAAAGGAATTTATAAAAAACACCGAGATGAAAACAATTAAAGAATTATGTTTACATTTAATAGAAAACAACCTATCATCTTTGTATAGTGAAGTTATTAAATCTTGTATTATATTTTTAAGTTTACCAGTGACTGTTGCATCGGCCGAACGATCATTTTCTAAACTTAAACTGATTAAAAAATATTTAAGAAACTCAATATCTCAAAACCAACCAACAATCATAAGTATCTTAAGGATAGAAAGAGCTCGCACTAGAAAACTTGATGTAGAAATATTAATTTTAGATTTTGCCAATCAAAAAAGCAGAAAACCAATTTTTAAAGTAACTTTGATAATATAAATTTGTAATTATTTTTATAATTTTAAGTGTATTTACTATTTTGTATAAAAGTGTAAATATGTATATATATATATATATATATATAATATGTTAACATAGGAAAAAACATGAATTTTTAACTTTTCTATTATAATTTTAGTGTTAATTTGTATTTTTCAGTTAAAAGAAATTTAAATGGTGATAGCTACTTAAAGTTTACATATATAAAAACATTTTTCATTAAACTATTTGGTAAAATGTTGAAAAGTAAGGGGCCCTATTATTTGGTATATTGTCCTCCAACCCTAAAAACCTTTGTTACGGTACTGCTTTTATTATTAATATTTTTAATACCTTGTTAAGTAAGTTTGTTATTATTTTTGCTTTTTATTATGTTGTTTAATGTTTTTCGTTTTAAATATATTTGCCTGCGGCCTGCAAGTGCCTTTGTTCCCCTCCAAATTTATTTTTCATTTATGTATATTAACCTACTTAACCACTCAGGCTATGTATTTGATTGTTTTTATTAATTTTAGATACCGAGTGGAGCGAAGAATGTATTGATTTTATAATGATGTGTGTTTTTTTGTATGTGTACAGTGTACACAATTCTTAGTCGATAAAATGCTTTGATTTTAAATCTTGAGGGTGGTTTTGGATAAAAAATGGTATTCCATTTTTACTTTTTAGAGATAAAAATTAAAAATTCCTAGTATTTTTAAAAATAATTCGGAAAAACAAGTACAAATAAAGGAAAGACTGGAAACAATAATGATTGCATTATGAAAAAGCTGTTTATAGTTTTTCTATAGATAATGATTGTAGATCGATGGCAGATTCAGGATTTAATTTTGGGGAGGAGTCATAGTCTAAAATTCAGTAGTTATTTTGAGGAGTCATTTCCTTATTCATAGTTATAATATTTATCACTATTGAATTTATAAAAACTAACTTGGGTCAATGGGGGGGGGGGGGAAGCCTAGAGCCCTTCTTAAACTCGCTACTGCTATAGAGGATAGGATTATTACAAAAAAGCAATAAATAAGTGTCAAATAATATAATTTAAGATTCATTATAATAGACATATACATTATTAATATTGTTTTAATAGTTAAAATATAGCACTACAGTGAATTTTTTTAAAACTCAAGTAATGTTTTATTATATAAACAAAATTATTTAATTAATTTACTTATAATATCAATATTTCTACGTATTATATAATAAATTTTACTGTGCTATAATATACAATAAAATAGGTTTGGTATATGTATAAGTATAAGTAATGATTTTTTTTTTAACATTTAGATATATTTGATATATTATATTTTAATTTATATTTAACAAAAAACAATAGTTTAACCTATAACTAAAAAATACTGTTAAAATATACATAACAAATTATATGATAATGTAAATGATATAATAATATTTTATTTGTGAAACTTAATACTTTTTGGTATATTCGATCTTATCCACGATCTTCAGTTGTATTGAAATTTATCATCATAGATATAATAACTGATTACTGAATAGTGTCACGTGGACTCATTTATAAAATCATTAAAGGTAGGTTCAGTTAACTTAGTGATCTAATTGGTTTTTTTAAACTATTCATAACTTGTACGAAGAGAGATAAGAAGGTGTAAACAAGTTTTTTGTATGTATACAATATTATTTTCAATTTTTATAATATTAAATGTTTACTAAAACATGATAAAATTATTGAAATATATATTAATTAATTATAATATGTTACACGATTTATTAAATGGTTTGTTTTTTAGTATTTACTACATTTTTATAAAACAAATAACTTAATTCTGTTAATTCTAAATCTAAAATATAGAAATTAAAACTAGAAAATAATCGGCTGCGTACGAGTTGATTCCCGGGTACCTGTTTATCTGCACCGACATCCGTTGAGTTGATTCCCGGGTCATTAGAGGGTACGTACGAGTTGATTCCCTATTGTTGTATATCAATTACCAATAGATTGCACGAGTAAAGAGTTTACGACCGTATAAAGAGTTCGATTGTCACACACAACTTGCTCTTGTGTCCACCGAGACAACGCGCGAATTTACAAATAAAAATCTCATTACCAGATACCAATTTATAAAAACAATGTGTTACAAATTTTTACCGAATTATTAATTTTTTTTATATTTTTTTACCTAGTTACTACTAAATGTTTTTAATAATAATAAATATAATATAATTCAATAAATAATTAATAAATAAAAATTGAATGATTTTCAAAATATGAAAAAAATTAAAAAAAAACAACATTTTTGAGAAACTTGACAGCCAACCTTCTCATGAGGTTTCTTGGGTTATGCTAATAGGCTGAATATTTTACTATATTTTGAATAAAATTTATAATGACCTGTGAATCAACTCGTACGTACCTCTTAATGACCCGGAAATCATCTAATACATGAGAAAGGTCTCGGGAATCAACTCACCTATTACGAAATAATCACGTCATTTGTATAGCATTCGTAAATATAACATTTGTCATACCTTAAGTTTTATACTTTGAACCAATTTAATAGATTACAATGAGAGTAAAATTGTGAGATTCGAAATTCTCTAACGTGCGCTTGTTGTATACTAAATAAATATAATATAATACAATACAATTTCACGTGTTTTAAGTAATTTCTACTACTAGATACAATTAATATAATCCATTTTAAATTTCAAATATTTTTTACATATTTATTGTTGACGTTTTTTCATAGTATAAAAATTTCAAGTATTTAATACTTGGTATAAATTAATACTTTAAATATAATTTTTTTTAAATATTATGATGTTGATATCATTGATATTCATTTACTGCGACATTTATTTATAATAACGTAGATAAATAAGTAGGTGTGGTACATACGCAGTATAGTTATATTTTTGAAGTAATAAAGATAATAATACAATGAATTATATTAGATAATATTAAAATAGTATTTATACATCATTATAATTTATAATATATACATGTTATGATGTAAATTATTGTAAAAAGATGGTTAACTTATTTTTTATAACTGGGATATGATTCGACTAAATTAAATTTTATTAAATTTTATTATAGTTAATGTGTAAACTGCAAAGGATTTAGGTATATCATTATTCATGACATAGTATGAGTATGATCATTGATTATCGTAAAACTAAATCACAAAAAATGCTGATGTTGGTTGGATTATTGAAATTTTTTGTCGCGATAATATCATAATAGGTAATATTAAAATGTAATAATATTGTGACATAAATTTAAAGTCCGTGGATGTCGATAACTTAAACTTTTATATCGAAATTCAATACGCTTTCTGAATCCTCGATGACTAGATTGTCTAATAGATGGTCGTTTATAAATTACACAAATCTACTCATTAAGATTTATTTTGCATTTTATGAATTTTTTTTTACATATTTTGGAATTAATTAATTTCATTAATTTATACAACGGATACCTATATAAAATGTGATCACCAAACATCAATATCGTATAATATTTTTGTAACGGACTATAATCAAATTCATTATTTTATTTGACTTTTTTCGTAAGTATACGGATCGTATAACTATTATTTTAAGTGAATAATTTTAATACATCGTAGAAGGTGTGCAACACGTTGAATATATGTTTTTCGTTTTTATCATCAAAACGTAAATGGTCAATTATTTCTTGATATTATGTTCAATTTGATGTGGTAAACTTTTTAACTTATAGTTTCAAATAGGTACATTGTACACCTACGGTGTACCTACTATAAATATGGGTGAAATATTTTTTTTACAACTTGAATACGTTTTGAATAGGAAATCGAAATTCGGACTCTAAATTAAAAATCTGCGTTAACGCGTGTTCAATATGATGACATACTATATTATCGTATACTATTGACCTATATAATATTATGATGATGTATCTACTAAAATATTGATTCGACGGTAGTTTTCGTTAACCGTGACACGTAGGTATACCTATTTAATATTATAATATTATACACTTTAACGATATTACGACGACGGTATTACGCACACACGCCAGCAAGAAACTATTTCGAATTTCCGATGGTCGTGTAGAGCCGCGTGTGCAGCGATAAGCCTGATCAAGTGACGGGGATCGTGCGGGGGTCTGTTGGACGACCAGTTGGTGGCGGGTGCGCGTGTGGGTATACGTGAATACATAATAATAATAATAATAATAATAGTAATAGTAGTAATAATAGTAATAATAATAATAATAATAATTATAATTATAATACACAATATGGGTGTAATATTATGCACCGTGACTAACGTCACCATCGGGCCTCTCCCTCCTTCCCTGCCATCCCTTCATCGCACAACCAACGGATGTCCGCGCAGCGCGTGATGCACCACCGCGGCGGCGGACGCGGTCGTGGCCGGACAAGGCTTGTCTGTCGCATCCGTCCGCATCGTGTCATCCGCCCGACGACGCTCTAGACGGGCAGAGGGACGGGGTCCCACGTGAGGTTCTGCAGGTACGTCGTGTCGCTGATGTCGTTGTCCCGTTTGTCGAACAGCGCCGTAGCGCTGCCGTTGCGCGGCCGCCGGTGCCGCCGCCGAGCGAACGACCGCGTGTAGATCTTCAGAACCTGACAGTTGCACGTGACGGCCAGCGCGACCAGTATGCCCTGCAGCGAGTGGCCCACGTTGTACGCGATCCACGCCACCGGGTCGGACGCCGGCGACCCGTTCCTGGCCACGTACCCGAACACGTTCACCGCGAACAGCAGCGTGGCGATCTTCACGTACAGGTGCAGCTGCAGCGTGCGCTTCCGGTGCATCTTCAGCCGGGTTTTCTTGTCCACCTGCAGCCCGACCGTGGCCCGGGCGGTCAGCCAGCTCCGGACCAGCGAGTCGACGATGGCCGCGAAACAGCACAGCGCCGGTATGGCGAACGTCACGTTGTAGATGGTCTTCTCGAAAAACCTGCAATCCGACGGGGCGTTATGTTATTATTATTGTTGTTATTGTTGTCGTTGTCGTTGTCGTTGTTGTACGACGTCTGCAGACCAATAGTCATAAGAACAGCGGAAACAAATAACATTTTTTATGGGTAGTACCGTGTGATCAATCCGTCCGAAGACTATTCTCTCAGCAGTTGAATATTTTAATACGATCAAATCGAAACATCAGCTCTTTTAGATTATTATTAAAAAAGAAAAAAAAAGAAAAGAAAAACCGCATTTGAATCTATTGATGCGTAACGGTGTCGCACAAAAAATGGGTTCGTATTATTTACCCCGGCGATGCAGGTCTTTATTAGGGACAAGCTGTATGATATACAGCGTTTTGATTATGGTTTATTATCGATTGGGATGTACGCTGTAGGGTGACCATTTTTATAAAAATAAAAAACGGGACGAACAGTTTTTTATTAATATGATAATTATTTATTTTTCCCAATCACATTTAAGTTACAATTTATTAAAATATTAAAATAATAATCAATAAATAATAATTATGATATGTTGCTCTTTTTAAAATTGTTTTATATTTTTTTAATACATTGATGTTTTTTTTACAAACATTATTTTATAATATGGAAATAACGGGATTAAAATGATACCATCTTTTAAAAACGGGATAAAAAGCGTCCCGTTCAGAGTTTGTTGGGACAACGGGACGTGATGATTAAAAAGGGACAATCCCGTTTTAAATGGGACGCATGATCATCCTAATGTACACGCGTATTTAAAAATAATGTGTCTTTTAAGTAAATGTAATAATGGACGTTTCTAACAAAGATAATACCCATTTGCATAGTGAAAATAATGCGTGATTACTATAAATGGATACGACAAATGTATTATTATTTTTGTTATTTATTATTCGTGTTACTTGACAGTCAAAATGTCCAAAATTACAATAGGATAAGATATTATATAAACCTACAGTTAATAATGATAACTTATGATTACAATTGGGATTGAATTAAAACTTTCGTGACATATTCATTTATACCAGCGGTTCCCAACCTTTTTGAAACTATTACCCAAAAGTCAGGTTAGATATTCACAAATACCCCCGACCAAAAAAAAAAAGTTGAGTAAAAAAAAAACAAAATATATATTATGATGATAATTATAATTTATTTAATTTTTGCAAACAAAGAAAATAAGAGTTCTCAAAACTATTAACACTATTAACAAAAATATTATATTATTACAATTTCATTTACAGTCATAATACACATGAGTAAATGAATAATAAGTACTTAAAATACAAATAAATAGTTTAACTTTTACCCTCCAAAAAATCGTGTTTTTACCCACTAGGGGGTAATTACCCCCAGGTTGGGAATCGCTGATTTATACAATTTATTTCTATGATAGAGAAATTTTAATGGGTCGATATTGACTAAACATAATTCGATAAAATAGACAATTGTAGTCAATAAATTAGATAGAAGTGATATGAAAGGGAACGATAAGGAAACAGAAAAACACGTTGAGTGAGAGAGTGCTTTAAAGCTGACGCAAATAACCTGTCTGTGTTGGCTTATCAGCTTAGGAATATAACTTGAATTCAGTAGATAAAACGATAATATATAGCTTCGTGATAGGTTATTTAGATTTAATAAATATTTTACGTCATAATAAAAAGTTAAAGATGTTTAAGAAATTATATTAGAATTAATTATGTTTGATTTGGTTCAAAAACTACCACAATTTCTTGGTAACCGTCTTAAAAGTTAAGTATCACACTTATTGCGAAGCTGATGAAAAGTATATAGTTAAAAGTTAATAATTTAGGAAACATTATTGGAAAAATGAAAATCGTATGTTTATATTAAATGTTAATTATTCTATTATAATATATAGAATATTGTTTTGTGTTTAAAGATCAATATAGTTGTAGCCAGTTAGTAATAGTAATCAAAGATATTTTAAGATTTGTTCTTCATAAAAATATGAATAAAAAAATACTATAGTGTCTTGCGTCCAAGGTGATCGCGGCGCGTGGTAGTATATAATATACGATTACTATTCTGAAGTGTTGTTTTACTGCACTACGTGCGTCCAATGCAGTGAAATACAATTACGCATTTAATATTGACTTTAACCTTACTTATATTTTAAGTGTTATTTTATAAAGAAGAGTTTTTTTTTTTTCTAATAAATAGTATTATTAAGTTCACAGTCCTGTTAATAACCAAGTTAAACCTTTTAAATTACTTAATTATCTAATTCATATATAATATTTTATTTAGTGACAAAATGTTTGTTATGAGTTTCAAATTAGTATAATTTATAGTAAAAATATTTTTTTTTTTTTTTAGAATTGATAGATACTGTAAAAATTTGAATAGATATAATAGTTATAATATTGTGGGAGCACATTAAATTTGAAAGAAGTAAAATCGTTAATAAATAATATAAAATTTGTACTTATCCTTATGAATTGTTTGTCTACAATATGTTTAGTCTATTTATTATTTGAATATCATAAATAATACTATGACGTCGGGATTTTTATAAAGTAATTTGTTAAACTCTAAAAATTAGAATTGTAGTAAATCCAAAATACAGTCATTCAATTATTTTAATTTATTTCTATATATTATTATAATAAGTAGGTGAAATGGTTTATGTCGAAATTATACCTTTTTTTTAAACATAAAGTAGTATCAAATATTAAACATTGTTATTTTTACCAATTATAATCAATCAGCAGAATCTAAGTTAATAAGTCGTATTTTTTATTACTAATGTCATGTCACTACATGTTATTTGCTGTCAGAGATTAATCTTGAAAATTATTTGAATATAATATGTATGTATTTATAATGTATACAATTTAATCATAAATGTACATTTGAATAAAATTTTATGTCGTTATCTTTGGAAACTTATATGAAGACATTTAGAAATGTAGAATATTTATTAGTTATTTATAATTACTAATATAATAATGTACAACTTATTACTCGGGAAAATTAGAAATAATATTGTTAGTTTTTAATAATTGTAGAAAAATGTTTGGAGTATGATTTATTATTTAAAACATCTTATTAATTGTCTAGATTTAGTAGAATTTCTTTTTCTGTTTTACAGTTTCGTTTGCAAGTCTTAATAACAGTACCTATCTAATTTTTTCTGTCAACAAAGTACACTCAAAAATTAATATATGGTTATCTACATCATTATTAATTTCAAGATATATTTTATTAGCCTCTGACTTTTTGGTGTTTGATGCATATTAATAATATCTTCCATAACCATTGGATAGGATATATTGATCAAATTGTACACTGGTGCTTTGTCCAGATAATTTTTGCATGGACAGATTCTACATATTTAACACGAAAGTCTTACAATAATTCTCATCAAATCGACCATATCAGAAACAATTTATTTACCTAGTTATATTTGTCAATGTATCATCATCCATCACCAATATTACCACTGATTACTGTTATTCTGAGTTTAATGAAATAGTACACAAATTAATTAAAACAATTAAGTTTTTATGATAAAATAACAATACAATATTTACCTAAAAACTTTCAGCTACATAATAGGTAGGTACTTACTATATGTATATGGTATGTATATCTATATGTTCTATATCAGAGATGGGCAACTGGCGGTCCGCGAGCTTTGTTAATCTAGTTTGTGTTACATTTTCAAATTAAATTATACAATTTTAAAGTTAAAAATTCACATTGTAAACAAAATAATTATAATTAAAATTAATATTTTGAATAACATTTTTTTGCTTTTTATGTTTTGGTTGCTAGATTTTAATTTTCTAAAAAGTGGCCTTCTAGTAATTTTGAGTTCCTCATCCTTGTTCTATATTATATCACAATATAATATATATGTGTACATTGTTGTACAAATATTCTTGTCTATTGGGTGTTTTTTTTTTTTTAGTGGCAAACTGTCTACGATTATCAATACATTATTGACGAAGAAAGCATAAAGAGTAGAGTAGGTACCTATTATTGTCAATAATAATATTCTAAAATAGTTCAAAAATAATAGTTCTTAGACTAGAAATTGATGAATAAAAAATAATAATTAATATTCAACTAATTTTATTGTTTAGGACAGCGGTTCTCAAAGTGTGAGGTGTGGCTGCCTTGGGAGGTGCAAGCACTTAATAGGGGAGGCGCAATCACTTAATAGGGGAGGCGCAAGTACTTAATAGAGAAGGCGCGATATAAATATTGATATTGCACATATTCACAAAAAGTACTAATATATTATAATATACACTAATAAAAATGTTTGCTTCATTTATTCAATGGGAGGCACGATTGAATTTTTTTATTTTTGGGGATACGTGAATCAAAAAAATTTGGTAACCACTAATTTAGGATAAAAAAAAGGAAAATAAAAATACTATTAATGTTATTCCAGATTCCTTAAAAGTATCAAAAGGATGCAAAATGAAACATTTATATTTTACCTATCTATTCACCAGTAATAACTCAGGAAGGGAATTTTACCTGTTTGCATTATAGTGTTATACACTGTAGCGGACTTATAGATTTTCACAATTCATTGGCAATACAGTTTATCTTACGGTAAATGCTAGTACTTAAATCCCCGAGGTTTTATATTGTGTCATTACTGTATCATTAATTATTATGAAAATAACATAGATATGTTGCATAAATGTATTGAATTATGTTATCTACTGATAATGTTAGAAAATAATAACTTTTCAAAAGAAGCAACAACGAGTCCGTCGGCCAAATTATAGGATTTTTGGTTTATGACGCGGAGAGAAACATAAGGGAAGTCCGTAATACATCATTTTCAAATGTATCACAGCCGTTAAGTCCATAGTACCTTCATGACATGTGAGTATGGTACTTTACTATTTTAACTTGTGTTTTTATTTGATAAACAACCATTTTGTTTCAAATCATGGAACTTTTTTTAAGTTGATCAATCAAAAACATAATATTTGGATCACAGACAGTCTGAACGTTACAATAGAAATACTATAACACGCATGTATATAATATTATACTGACCAACAGTTGTACGGGTTGAGGTTGTCGATGGTCTGATGGCTAATGGTCACTCTCATCACGCTAGCTGATATCACTGACAACGAGGGTACGCCCCAAGCGAACAGACTATATTTGACAAACCTTGATATGAGCACATTTACCGGTTCCGGTCGAGGATTGAGATTCACATTATTGCGGAACGTTATCAACATATCGTACGTCATTACACACAGCCAGCTGATAATGGCTAGACGGAGGTAGTGTATTCCAAACGCCAAGCACAAACAGAGATTATCTTCCTGAAATCATGCATATTACAATCGGCTCACTAAATTATATCGTTTAAAATGTAATTTTTTTTTCTTTGTTGCATTTCATACAAATTTAAAATAGTTTTTTCCCTTGCAAATCAACAGTGTTATGAAACTCTAAAGAAAATTCAGATGCGAAGTGAACAGGGTTCAAGTATAAACATCTAGTCTTTTAATCTTAAAGCTAAATAGTGCGCATATCAAGTTTGGTTGAAATTATTCCAGGTATTTCAGTGTTGTACTGGAATATACATTAATATAATATATTCATACATGAATTTATTTTAGTATGATGTAGGTAGTTAAAATAGTATTAGAGAAGAAAATAAGGGCTAAGACTACAAAAACTGATCTTATAAATTATGTAAAAATATATATCATGAGAAGCATTTCTCGGATTTAATAAAAGTAACTTCGTTCTTGTTTTTACAGCGTTCGAGTTATACTATAACATTTATTATTCTCCTTTACCTACATAATTTTTCACCATTATTATTCACGAAAATTTTATGCTTTTATTTCAAAGGAAATCTAACTTAAATGATAAACTAAATAGGTTAGGAGGTAGACAAAATAGTGTACAAAATACACCTTTTTGAGACGCATAAAAAATTGTTATTTAAATGCGCAGTTAGTTCGAATTACGAGTTTTTTTTTTCATATAAAACTAAATATTTAAATATTTAATTTCCATTTAATGGTTTCAATTGCATTTCCTATTTTCATTAATTGTTTTAATAAATAAACCAAACTTTTTTTTTTTATTGAATCAAAGAACAAACGTTATACATGTCTTTAATTAATTAATTATTTTATCATTTTGATAAAACCATAACGACGAAAATGTACTAATGACGTTAAATGGCTTTGGAAATTGAGCTGAATTTTACAAATAAAAAAAAATAAAAAACGTTTATTTAACCTATAAGTAAAATTGTATATTTTCGATATGTGATAGGTCATATTATATTATAATAGGGATGTTTAAATAATTAAATATTAACTGTTGATTAATATTGTTATTTTAGAAGGTATCATAATATTGATGTACTATAGTATTTTTTTTTAAACTTAAAGTACTTATGGAAGTATATTATTATCTTAATGTAACAAGTTATTTATTGTCATTATATTTTTATTTTTATCAATCGTAAAATATATTACCTGGACTCCTCCGACACCAACTACATAAAACAACTGTGTTAAAAACATATTTGCCAGCATGTACATTAATGCCGTTCCAGACATTGTTCTCAGATCTGAAAACAAACTGAAAACAAACAAAAAGTAATCAATTATTATTCAACAATTTTCACATATTTATTGTTGTTTAAGATTTCTTTTATTATTATTTACTACAATCCATAATTTCTGCATTACAATAATAATAATAAATTAGGTATATGATACCTAATATCCTAATATTCTATTGTAGTTTGGAATTGTGCACTTTTCTTTAAGAAAACCTTTACATTTAGTCCATAGCTGTAATGCTATACAGGGCGATTCACTAAGTACCAATGTTTATACTTTTATGTTTCCTTCAATAATGCATTCAATCAAATTTTGATTTTCAGTTATTATTTTATACATTTAAAAACCATATTTAACATTTTGAATTTGTTTGTAAAATGTCTTGTGATGATAAAAACTTCACTTTTTTTCACAAATTATTGATGTCGATAGATTTATATGAAACATTAAAATTTTCAAATTACCGTGGCTTCCATATCTTCTACGTTTATTAATATGTATCTCACCTTAAGTATCTAAAGTTAAATAGTTAAATAACTCATTCTAAATTTGATCCTGATATGTTAAAATTTTCAATAAAATTATCTACTAAATTGAAAAGGTGAGTTTTTTTTGAAAATCAGAAGTTTATATCTTTACTGTACCTACACTCTTTAAGTAGGTAGATTAGAAAATCTCAAGAATTTGAAAATACGTTCGTTTTTAAGTATATGTAAACATTTAATAAATCAAATTTTTATAATTCCATTATCAAAGAAAAATAAGGAATGAGCATGTGTGGTGAATAATTATCCTATACATTATGGATGGACAAGAATGAAGTGGAATGGGTAGTGAAGGGATGATAAAATATCATTTGTTATGGTGACATTTCTGTGTTGACAGAGATATTCTTTACATCGTGGTCGTCATCATTATTGTCATGTCCTTACTATAAATCTTTTATGTTTTTGTTCAGTTCATCTAACTCTATCCAGTCTACCCCTACCTTATTGGACACCAGGTTTTAGCACTAAATTATCAATATACTTGCTTAACAAATCTACAATATGTTTGCAAAGTTGTGTGAGTTACAGAGGTTAATATTTTCAATTTTGATAAAAGAGATAATAATAAGTTATCATATTTTATTTTATGCTTTATACATTAATTAATGTGTTAATTTGTTTTTTCACCTACTTGCTTATTGCAAGACTAAATTGTAGAATAATATTTCAAGCAAGAAAAATCAATATTAGTTATTATCTGTAATTCAAATCATAAGTATGTTTTTAAATATTTTTATCATGAAAACAAGTATTTATGTAAAAAAAAGTAAAAAATAATAATAATAATAATAATAATAAATTACCAATACTTCATTAAAAACAAATTATAATATCGGTTTTATCAGATATTCGATAAACAAATAAACAATTTATTTGTTGAATTCTTGTTTTTATCTTTCGTTCTGAAAATATACCTATGGTCTTTCTGTTTATATGTTTTTCATGCTATACAATTTTTCAGAATTTAACAAGTCAGATATTATTACCATTTTTATGCCATATGAATGGTACCCGAGAGAATTTGTACCGGTCAGTCAACCAGTATATATCAATAAAACGAACTTTTTTTTAGAAGTATTGTACTTGTTTCACATAATGTATTCATGTACATAGACGTAAGGTTATTAAATGCCACATGCATAGAGTTTACAATGCTTACATACATTTAAATAAATGTTAGGTCCATAATATTCAATATTGCTTATAAGTTTGTACATTGTGGAAGATAAAAATATTAAGATACACATTTATGTAATTAACAATTTATATTGATTAGTTTCACCTATAAAATACACATAAACATATAATAGTATTCAGATTACTTAATATAATATGTAATAAAACCAATTAATTAACTGATGAAAAGAACACTAAAAGATAAGTATCATTCTTGTGCAGAATAATTAAGTGATTATATTAATAGAAAAATCTGTTATATTATACGTATTGATTTTTTTTGATAAATTTCTTATTATGTTTTAATGTTAGACGATGTTTATTAAATTATTTAGATGCTATACAATTCAGGCTCATAGTTTATTAGTAAAAACACTAAGTTAGGTTAGAAAGAATAATTTATTGTCATTATTATTAATTTAATGCACAATTTATTGTATTATAGTAAGAATCTTGATAAAATTTTAAAAGAGATATAATAATTGTATGATATATTCTTCAATAAAACAACTACTGCGATTGAAAATTAATAGCAAACGTGCAATATAAGATTGTACAATTTTCGTAAAACACTATACCTATAATATTTATTATCTAATACAACTTATTATATTTGATATATTTTTAGCTTAATATGTGTATTGGTTATTGGAAATCGATAATAACTTAATATTTTGTTAAATCCGATATTTCAAGTTAAAGCTAAGGTTTTCTAGTGAATTCATATACGATATATTATAATGATATATATACATATATAATATTCGTGAAAGGTCTGTTATTATGATTTTATTTATTGACTAGAAGATTTAGGTATAATGTTATTGTTAGTATTTATCCGTAGAAATAAATTAGAAAGTTAAATATGGCTTATCTCTGTTAGGTATTAGAAAATTATGATATACTTAATAATAATATTATTATACTATTTTTGTTTTAATTATAAATTACTAAGGTTCGGAAGTTTTAGGAATTGCATATTGTTCTGTATGCACTCAATTTATAGCAGATCAAGTTAAAAATCTGATTTGTACAATGGAGAATTAAAAATGCATATTTTGTCAATTTTAGCTAAAAAAAGTGCATATTTCATTGATTATTTACGCATATTATGCATATATCATATTTTTCTAAAAAAATTGATTTTTTTCTTTTTTAACTTGTATATTTTAATTAATAATGAATATAAAACTAAACACTTTTAATGAAGGTATTAAATTTATCGCAATTTCAAAAATACTTAAAAAGTATTTTCAATTATATATTTAGCTCAATAAGATGTTAAAATTCCAATCAGTTAAAAATTTTTTTCAGCTATAAACAGTTTTTATGTATATTATTATTTTATTAATTTATTAACAATATTTGCTGCATTTTTTTTTTTTTTTTTGAATTCAAAATAATTTTCATATTTAACATCATTTTAATGCATATTTTGTCTTTTTTTAGTTCCTAAAACTTCTGAGTTTTATAAATTACTGATCAAACCAATTTATAAGATACATTTAAAAAAAGTAAAAAAAAAAAAAAAAATCATATTTTAAACATAAAGAATGTTAATAATAAAAAAAACATGATTTAATGATATTTTAAATATGATTCAATACAATTTTCAATTTTATCTGATATCATTTTAAAAATAGAAAAAAAAAAAACAAAAAAGGTCAAAATAATTGGCTATAGATATAATACAATGGGGCTATACTTTACTTTCCTTTGATGGATAGTCTGATTATTCTGATTTTATTAAGTTCTTATTGAAAAATTCCTCCGTTTGTTTACTTACCTACTAACAACTCTGTGATATTCCCCATCTCATTTTCAATTACTCAAAATTATCATCATATCGCGCCTATCAGTAGATTTTAAAATCTTCCAAAATTTCTTTCAGTATTTAAAATATATTTTCCATCCAATAAAAAAAATATTATACTCTTCATGTTATCATTTTTTTAATCATACATTAAATTAAATTATGTATATTTTATTAGGGTATATTATTTTAATTTTTGATTTTTAGCTTAATTAATATTTTCTTGGTCATGATTTTATTTTTGCAAATTAATTCAATATTGTAGTTTGTTGAAACTAAATGTTTTGTGAAGTTAGTGAAAAAAAGTCAACGCTTAAATGATTGAATGAGTATTTGAAATATTTTTTTGTCAAATTTAACTGTATATAAAAGAAATAAGGGGTTATTGATAAATCGTGTTTTATGAACTATTAAATCCAATTACATTATGAATAATCAATAACTGTTGCTTTATTTGTTATATTCAAGATTATTATTTAATTGCATAATACACAAAATGTAAATATTAAAAAAAAATTATAATTTCAAAATTGCTGAAACAAATTCAACTGAATAATTCTATCTCTAAATTCTTTTGAATTGAAAAAATGGTCTTTTAATAACACGTTTTAAATTATTCAAACAATGGATCGAGTTTTATATTTATTTTTTTAAGTGCTTATTGGTTTGTTTATGTTTCAGTATTGTTTTTAGTTCTTTAATTTTTAAACATTATCGAAATGCCAGCAATTGAAAATGTAAACATTTTAAAATTCTACGTTTCAATGTATATTTTATACTGAAATTGATTTTATCTATAAATTAATTCATGTATCTTAATATTTTTTATTCAAAATGTACTTATATAAAAAAAAAAAAAAATAAAATAATAATAAAGTAGTTAATTGTTAAAGTAAAAATAATTATTTATTTACATTTTTTTTTTTAACTTATATATTATATATATACATATAATTTATAAATACGAAATTTTTAATTTTGATGATAGTGTAGATGATTAAAATCTATAATGATAAATATAATATAAATATTTAGTTGATACAAAATAACCGGAATAAGTCATTTAACAATATTGTTTGTTATTATTTTTAGTTAAACGTAAAATAAATTACGATTACAGATTTTTCAAACGTATTATAAGTATGGCTAAAATGTATTTAATAGTAAATTAACATTTCATATTAAGTTATATCGCATTTTAGTTAATTTCTACATCTCACCGCTAAATTGTAATCAAATGATACGTATGTCAGACTTTCAAAAACTTTTCTTTAGCTAAAGATATTTTTAATGTCATAAAAAAAAAAAAAAAATCAATTTATTAAATATTACACATTATTATTATTGTTAAAAAATAAATTAAAAAAATTAAAATCTTTTTGGAATCTAAAATTCATTCCATTATACAAGAACTGGGAGTGGAATATTGTAACTGAAGAGTATAAAAGCTAAAGTTTTATAATTTATGAATTATTATTG